GTGCCTTAGGCACTATGCTACTAGAGATCCTTGTAATCACTATAGGGGTTAGGATTTACATTTATTTTTTGGGGACATAATTCGATCCAAATAAACCCAAATTCATTGCCATTGAGTCAATCTCAACTCATAATGAATGACCCTATAGGACAGAGCAGAACTGCTCCACAGGGTTTCTAAGGCTATTAACTTTATGGAAGCAGGCTGCCACATTTCCCCCACAGAGCGGCTGGTAGGTTTGAACCGCTAACCTTTAAGGTAGCAGTAGAGCTCTTAACCACTGTGCCATCAGGGCCTTTATTCAGTCTGCCACGTGAGGATACAGTTCCCTCACCTGGAACACGCTTTATTCAACAGGGGTATCCAGCTGCTGCCAGTAAAGGCCGACCCTGTTTTAGGCAAAATGTAACATCAAAATAAAGAACTAGAGACCTTACAGTAACTACCTGGACGCACCCTTTTACAGTTTGCAAAGGGCTTCTCATGACCTCATAGATGAGGACACAGGAAGAGGCTTGCCTGAAGGTCACACAGGTCAACAGAGCAGAGCCAGGGTCTGAATCCAGCACCATCTGACTCCAAGTCTGGGGTCATCCCACCGCACACAGTGCTTCTGTACCTATGACAGTATCACGGGTGAGAGGAAGCTGGGGGTGAGGCTTAGCCCCCCAAGAAGTGTAAGAGGCACCAGACTTAGAGTCCTGGACCCTGGGCTTCAGTCCTGCTCTGTCCCTTGTGAGCTGTGTGAGCTGGGACAGGTTGCCCTCAGTCATAAAATGGGGCAGCAATGGGCAATTGCTGCATTAAACAACAAACACTTGCCTCCCAATTGACTCATATATATATATCAGAACAGAACTGTGTCCCATAGAGTTTGCAATGGCTGTGATTTTGGGAAGTGGAGGGGTTGGCTCTTGGGTGCTGTGCTGGGTGGATAGCTGGTCCTCCAGCTCTCTGCAGAAGGGGCCCTGGCTCCATGGGGATATTACAATATTTAACCACCATAACCACTTGGGCACTGACCATGCAGGGTTGGAGACCCCATGTCACCAGCCATTACCTGCTTACCATGGGGAGGTCTAGGGGGTCCTGGGGGGCGGGGCAGCCAGACTGGAGCAGCAGCTGTTCAGATATTTCACCATATTAACAACCAGATCAGCTGGACTGGTGTAAAATAGTATCAATGGACCTGACTCAGCCTTTGGGCATCTGGTCTGCCTGCCCCAGGTGACCCTATCAGACTTTGTGAGGGGATTTAAGCGGCTAGGAGAAAATAATGAGAGAGAAGGAGCTTGTGTCTGGCTGGCCTGGGGCTGCAGTAACGGCGGGGTGGGGGGTGGGAGCTGACCCAGCAGACAGCCCCATAGGCCCTGGACGCAGGTGGGGAAGATATGGGCAGTGCCGAAAGTGGGTTAATTGAGGAGATGCATCTTAAGCCCTGGGTGATTAGAAACGGGAGATGCCCTGAAAATGCTCCCCTGGAAGCCAGAGGGGCAGGCCCCAGGAGGCCCCAGGTGCAGGGGGCCTGTCTCAGGGGGCCGAAGGCCTAGCCCAGCGCTGACGCCCGAGCCAGGGACTGCTGTAAATGACCACAGTGGCCCAGGCCCTGGGGTTCTCCCTCCTGTTCGTCAGCAGCTTCTGCCCAGCCTGGCTTTGCAGTAGTTAATCCCTCCCCACCCCCGCCCCGGGTGTTGCACACCATCTGCCTGCCCTTGCTGGGCACATGGGGACACTGGCGACAGGAGCTGCCCAAGGCACCTGGCTAAAGGAAGTTGCCCTTGGTGTTCCTCTGCCAACTCAGCCTACCAGGCACGGCCTTGCCTCTTGTTGCCCGGCTGGCAGAAGGGGCTCTCCCTGCAACCTCCTACCCTGAGGTTGTGTATCCAGGCTCTGCTTCCAAACCTGGGAGCCGGTTGCCACCACCCTGTCGGAGTTCACTCCCACCTCTATTCTCCTGGTCCAAAGGCCCCCTCCCTCCAGGGCGGGAGTTGTTTGGCTCTGGAATGCTAATCCGTTCTATTTTAGCCAGAGCCCAGCAGCTGCCATGCAGTGTCAGCCTCTAGCTCCCTCTGCAGGCAGTTTTCGAGAACTGCAAAGGCGGTTTGGCCTGCAGTGAGTAAGGGTCATTCTAGGTTAAGCAGTTCATTCCCTTCGCCTTAGCAGGAGGATGCAACACTCTGCTTTTCTGATAACGTGGCAATGCCTACCCTACCTCAGCATCTCATTAGCCTCGTTGCGGGCTCCCCACCGCTTCCCGACCAGTCCTCTCTCTGCTCTCTGAAGCCTGGTTCCTGGCTTCCTCCAATAAAGGGCTCAGCTCCTCATTATGGTCATTACCACCACATTCTCAGTCGACGGTTTCTGATCCTCACTAGAGGGGAAGGAGTCGTTGTGTTGGGGGCTGACGAAGGGAAGGATGGCAGGCCCCACCGTGGCCGGAGAGGTGTATAATTGGAGCTTGGAAAAGCAGGGGCAAGGTTGGTCCGACCCAAGCTGCTAGCTGGCCGATGCAAGCGGTGGAGGCGGGAGATAGACTCAGTTTTTCTCCGTTCCCCTCCTCTCCTGCTCACTGCCACCCCATTTCTGGCCCTCAGCCCTTCTGCTGCCATGTTGCGTGTCCCCTGCTCCGTATCTTTCCTATTTCAGGGTGCTCTGCCCATGGGCATCACCTGGGAGGTTAGAAATGCAGGCTTCTGAGTCTGCACATTAACAAGAGGTCCCAAGATAAAGCTCATCTTAGGAGCAGGTCAGCGCCTCTGGCGTCCCACCCATTCTGACGATGGGCAGAATAAAGGCCCAGCTCCTCAACCTGGCATTGAAGACTCTCACACGGGCCTTACTCCCCTCGTCGTGTGTCCCATGCTGTAAAGCCAACACCTAGCCGCCCGGCAAACACATCTTCAGCCCAGCCTGCTGCTGCTGCCTGTAGCGCCTATGCCATTCTCCCTGCCACTGCAGCCCCCCCCAGCCTGCAGGGCCAGCGCCAACGCCAGCTCCCCCTCCTCCCTCTTTTGCCTGTCTCCGCCGATCCTTGCCTTGCCAAGATATCCACCAGTGAGCCCCGCCTCTCCTGGAGTCCCACATAGCGAAGCTCCGTCTTCCTCACCAGTTCTCACGGAACTGCCGTCTGTGCTGCAGGACCGCGTCTCCAAAGTTCGTGCTCTACCCCCCACGTCCTGGTCAGCGTCATCTGGAAGTTGTTACCAGTGTGGATTTTGGGCCCTCCTCCTCCGACTGCTATATGAGAACCTCCGAGGAGTGGGGCCAGGAAGCCGTATCTTAAAACAAGCTCCGTTGGAGGTTCTTGGGGAGGAACTGTTGGTAGACGGAGCTAAGCAATGACCTCTCTCCTATACCCAGACACAACCTGGCTTGACTCATCTGTCCCAGGCCCCGCCGGCCAGAGTGGCTGCAGTGGGATTGGTCTGGGCTTTGCTTCTGTCAAGATTTACAGCCTTGAGAACTACAGGGCAGTTCTACTGTTGTACAGGGTTGCTTCAAGCTGGGATCGACTCAGTGGCACTAGGTTTATTTTTTGGTTCACCCTAAGGACTAGACAACCGTTAAAAGTGACACGAGAAAATAGTGAAAGCAGCAGGTGTGGCAGCTACTTTCTAAAGATGGCCATCAACGTACTCCCGCCCTTGTGCAGTCCCCACCCACAATGCATCTGGGCTGGCCTTGTGACTGGCTGGAACCGAGAACACGGCAGAAGTGATGCTGCGTCAGCGTGAGGCTGAGCTATAAAAATCCTGGCAGCCTGTGCTTCTGCACTTCTGGGAGTCGGCCACCCCGCTGTGGAGGCCCCTCGGAGAACAAAGCCCAGCTGCCCGGGCCTCCCCAGACTCCAGCCACGTGAGGGAGCCGCCAGGGCCGCTCAGCCTGGACAAACCGCTAGGGGCCTGTAGCTGGGCCGACACCACATGGAGAGGCAGAACCACCCGGTCCAGGCCGCCCACAGGCAGAACCGGGAGGCGCGATACAGCGGCTGTTGTTTAAGCAGCTACGCTTGCAGGTGGTTTACCCCTCAGCCATAAGCAGACGAGGTTACAAAATGGTACACGAGGCATGAGCTCCATTTCTCAAACGTGCAGAATTAATGAGCACAAACACTACGAATAGTTAGTGGTCCCCTTACTTTATCTTTTGGCTACTTCTCAGGTTTTATATAATGAGCATATACCATGTTATATTTCTTGATTTCATTTAAGTAATTTAAACGCATTTTATGGACAAATGAGCACCCACTCACTGCTCACACCTCCACCCCAGTGGCTGGTCTCCTACAGCAGAAGGTACTCTGTTCCTTCCTGCCACAAGGTTCCTTCTCAGATGTGGGGCTGAGTTTCTATCTGAGCCCCCAGTTTCTGGACAAGGCGACCCAAGTTCTAAAGATAATCAAATCTCCCTTTTCTTCCTCAGTTTTCATCCCAAGCCCAACGAATGTAACCAAGTGCTATCTTTAGGCCACTGATGCAGACATCTTTTCATGAGGGGAACACTGCCCTCCCTGGGAACTCTCCCTCCTTACAACTCTTCTCCCTAAAGGGTTGTCACTGTCACTGAGCATCAGGCTTTGGTCAAAAGAGGATGACTAATTTAGAGGACCAAGGTCGGCCCTGACAGCTCCACCGTAGAAGACGGTGCTGCCTGCTTAGCCAGAAAATTCAACAAAGAAATAGCGAGAGAAAATGGCTGCCTGGCATCGGTTGCTGAGCAACTGTCGCTATGGGGACAAAAGGATGCTGTAAGGAATCAGGTCCAAGAGGCTTCCTGTTCACACACCTGAGGGACGTGATGGTGCAGGAACAGGGCTGGAGGGTGTGGGAACTGGTACACCGAGTGGTTCATCCCACTTCAGAAATAAACATTTTAGACTCTTGAAGCTACTGGGAAACTATCACGCTTCCATCTAATACTGAACCAGCATCAGGTTCCGACTGGGAATGAAAACAGGTGACACGCTCGGCCGTCAGCTCCATGGGGAAGAAAGCACAATGTTTACAGAGAGGACCTTGAAAAAGAAAACCAAAGACCGCTTTTATTGATGCACCAATAGGCCAACTGACAATATGGAAGGGATGATGTTAATACAATAAACATTGATGCAAATTAAAATACAAAGGTACCTGACATGGCTTCACAGTGACATGATGCCTTAATAAATTAAGGAAACCTAACACTCTGACTGTCTTCTTATTTCATGCTCTTTACAAAGTCTTCTCCCTTCTTGATTGAGGCTTTCAGCTCCGCCATGGCCTCGGCCACCATCTTCTCTTCAAAGGAGGAGATTTTGCCGATGCCTAGGTTCTTCTCAATGCCTTTTTTCTGGAGAGAGAGAGCGGTTCCGTTATTTTTTATGGTCAAACACACGTAACATAAAATTCACCACTGAAACCACTTTCAGCTGTACAACTGAGTGAGTGGCCCTTAGAATGTTCACAGGTGCTCTGGTAACACAGTTGTTACAGTGCTCCGCAACAAACCGCTCCAACCCCCTGCTGGCAGTCTGCAGTTCCACCCCAGCTATTCAGACACAGAACCTGTATTTTAACAAGATCCCCATGTGTTTCTTCTAGGTCCCCACAATGAGACTCACCCAGGGATCTTGTTAAAATGCAGACACCCATCCCAGTAAAGTCTAAAGCAGCACGGAAAGGCAAATTCCTGGCAGGGGGTCGAACTGGAATGAACTGGTGGTTCAAAGCCCTGGTGTGCACTCACCAGTCACTTTGCAGGAGTCTGCTTCCTTAAGATTACAGCCTAGGAGGTGGGCAGCTCTAATGAGGTCGCTGACAGTCAGAATCGACTTGGCCTCTACCAGTTAGTATGTTTGTACTGTACAACCGTCACCATTACCAGCTCCAGAACATCTCTGTCATCCACAAGGAAACGCCCCACCTGTTAACAAGTCTCTCCCAATCTCCTGCCTCTCAGCTCCTGGCAACCACTAATCTGCTTGGAAGGCACTATATATACATGTATCTATTTTTTTTTTTTTTAACAAGGAAACCTCCGCGAATAAATGTATTACGGAAAACCCAACCCATGGCTCTGACTGGCCTCTCTGCACCTGTGGGTTCTGGGGGACAGCACAGAGAGCTGCAGTTACCAGGATGAACCTGGGCAGGACGGGAACTCAGACTTCAGGGCCAGACAGACGGAGGCTGGGATCCTGGCCCCATCACTTACTATACGTGTGATTTTGGAAAAATAACTTCAATTCCAAGTGTGCTTTCTTATCTATAAAAAGAGCATGCCATCTACCTCAAAGGAGGCTGTGAGAACACGTGCAGAGGACTTAGCCCAGCACTGACACAGAGCGTACATTTAGATCCTAGTCTCTCCTCCAAGACTGTAAAGGGCTGAAGGAAAAAGCATTTTAATAGTCATCTGAATTCAGTATGATTAAGTAGGTAACGGAGGAGAGACAACGCAGGGACGCCAGAGTAGCAGGCCGGAAGAGCAGGGAAGGGGATAAAAGCCTTGAACCCGGACAGAAGAGCAGTCAGCCCCAGGGATACAGGTGAGGAGAGACAATGCAGGGACCCCCGAAGAAGCAGGCCAGAAGAGCAGGAGAAAGGGGATTA